GTTTGATATGCCCAAGAAATTAATACAACAAAGGGATCAATCGTTTTATGGGCATATCGCCGGGTCGTTACGTACTAGTTACGATAATATGATGGAGCTTAAATTATTTAAAAAGAAGGCCTAAATTTTTCTCGAGTGTTGTTAATTATCTCGAAAATAACTTTCAGTTTAATAACAATAAATTTCAATATTCGAATGGCTTTTGCCTATAACCTATAAGTCCTTTTTCTCAATTTACTGACTCTGTAAAAGAGTTTTGCATACAACCCATATAGTTAGATACTCTTTTTAGCGAATTCTTAGTCTTTCACAGTTTTTGCGTAGTTGAAAAATTATTTAAGCCATGAGGAAATATAGATGAACTCCTTAAAAAGTGGTGCTTTTTTACAGTTTGAGAGGATCTTAAGAATAAAGTTTGTTTCCTGGCGCAAAGAGAGAAACCGGCTTCTAAGTAAAATTTTTGAAAGTGAACTTCAAATTAAAAGTAATTTTAAAATGAAATGTATAAAATCCTTTGACTATTTAAACACTGAAAATGGGAAGGATCTCATTATTGCTATTCAAAAATGTCATAAATATAAAATAATTTATTGGCTCCTGTGTACGATCATGTGTGCACTCATGTTAAAATAAATTACATTTTTATTTTTTATGAACTACTAGTGAACCCGTATGGCGTTTTTATTAAAAATATTTTTTTAATAAAAAAAGGTATTTTTTCCTCTTAAATGTTTTTTCTCAGATTTATACATACGAAGTAAACAAATTGCATATCAGAAAAAACGGGTTTAATCACGTTTACGACGATATTAATTTTTTTTTAAATCAGTTCAAACTTGTTTGAAATATAAGGCTTTTATTTTTCGGAGACCCGACCTTTGACCCCTTATAGCACCTGTAACATAGAAAAAGTTATGTATCATTTAGGTGACAGGTAATAAGATCAACGGAAATAAGGTCAATTGACTTTATATCCCACCCTGGTGCGAAATAAAGTCAATTGATATTATTACCTTTTTAAAAACGAAATAAAATCAATTGACATTATTTCTCTTTCAAACATTAAATTTGCTTAGCTTCGCGGCGGCCCGCGTCAGCGCGCCACACCGCGCGCGTCGCGCTCGCGCTCGTGCCCCGCGTACCCCGCGCGACCGACGCACACACCACGTCACGCTACCCCGCGCCCCCCCCCCCCGGCCCCCCCTTCCCGTCTCCCCACGTGCTGTAACGCAGGTAGATTTATTTTTTGTATACGTTGAAATAAAATTTTTATATATTTTAAACATCGAGGCCTTATATTCAATAATACCCCCTATATGCACA